GCGCCGACCCGCCAGTAGCGGGGTCGGCGGCAGCGGAGCCCACTGCAGACGACCCTGCTGGACCGCTGTGCGCCCCCACCCGCAGGACCTGACCTACAGCGTGGCAAACCACGCGTCAAAGAAGCGGGAGACCATAAACCTGCTGACGGGGATTACGGGGTTCTTCGAGCCCCGAGCCATGTCTGCGCTCATGGTGAGGGGCGGGGTCGGGCGCCCGCCTGGGAACATGGGCCCTGGTGGGGGCCGGGCGGGAGGGCGCGCCATTGAGGCTGGGCAGCGGCGCGCTGGGCTCCGCCCTGCGCGTCTGCGGCTGATGCCGGGCGGTCGGGTTGGTGCTGCGGCGCGCATGCCGCTGGGCTGATTCCTGTGCCGAGCCGGCCGTCTCGACCCATCCCGCACGGCGCGCGTCGCTCCCAGGGCCCCAGCGGCAGCGGCAAGACGACGCTGCTGGATCTGCTGGCGGGGCGCAAGACCGCGGGCCGCGCCACGGGGGAGATCCTGTTCGCCGGCAACAAGCCCACGCGCGCCTTCCTGCGGCGGTACACCGGATACGTGAGCCCCGCGCCGCAGCGGCGGGGGGCATCAGGGGGCGTGCGGCAGCGCGAGGCGGCAGCGGGGTGGGGCCAGGCCCCGTCGGCTGGGACGCGAGGATGCTGCGCCAGCTGCCGCCCTGGTGGTCGTTCAAATCGCCGCGTCCATTCCCCACTCCTGCCGCGCGTTGCTCATCCGCACCCCGCCTGCCGACCTTCACGGCCCTGCCCCTGCCCACCCCTTGCCCCCTTGCTCCCGCGTCCCCCCAGGTGGAGCAGTTTGACACGCTGCTGCCGGGCCTGACTGTGGAGGAGATGCTGCTGTACACGGCGGAGCTCACGCGGCCGCGGCAGGAGGGGCGCGCAGCCAAGAGGGACGCGGTGGAGGTGGGCGCGCACGCGGCTTCGCGCGCTGCATGGATTATATGCCTGCGCCCGCACGGTTGCAGTGGAGGGGGCCCGTGAGAGTGTAGTGGCTGCAGGTCTGTTTCCTGCGCGTCTTGTTTGTCCGCGGCGCGCCGTGGCCTGCTATGAGTTGAACTTTCGAGCACGCTGGGGCAGTTGCGGCGGCCGGCACAATGAAGCGCTTGCGCCCGCCGGCTTCTCGCCATCGCCCAAGATGCAGCTGGCGTGCAGGTGGTAAATGCACAAACACCAACCATCAACCATCAAACCTACCAACGACCTCCCCACCCCCTTACTGTTGATACAATCCATCACCCCTCCTGACACCGTTCCACACGCGCACACCCACACGCACACACGCCCCCCCCACACACACACACACGCGCGCGCACACAAACACACACACACACACACACACACACACACACACACACGCGCGCGCGCGCGCGCAGGAGCTGCTGGACAAGTTGGCCCTGACAACGTGCCGCGGGGTCAAGATAGGTGCGTGCCGTATCCTGCCCAGGATGATCCGCCGTAATTGTGGCGATTGTTGTGCCTTGGCCAATCAGCCGAGACAGGGGCCGTGTGCTAGTGGTATGTGACCCTGCCCGGTGTCGTTTAATAGGGGCGATTCGACGGCCATCATCGATATGCATACGCGTGGCAGCTGCGTGGTTTGCGTCAGCACGCTTCCCAATGGTTGTTGACTGTGCCTTGCCCTCTCGCGGTTCTTGACCACCCTCCACCAACCCTGCGCGCAGGCAACCCCCTGGAGAAGGGCATCAGCGGGGGCCAGGCCAAGCGCACCAACATCGGCATCGCGCTCATCACCAACCCGCGCGTCCTCATGCTGGACGAGCCCACCAGCGGCCTCGACAGCTTCACGGCCAACGAGGTGGGGGGGGGGTGGGCGCCGCTGCATGGGGCGGGCGTGATCGCTTGACTTTACAGCTGTTGATTTGAGGGCATGCCAGGCAAATTTAAGTGGACTAGGAGATGGATTTGAGAAGCACGCTAGCTTGTGTCTGTTGTTGGCAGGCGTGACGGCCTCATCACACGCCCTGATGCCACCTTGTGACCCCCCTCTTTCGGGCAGGTGATCTCCCTGGTCAAGGGTCTGACGTCAGAGGGCGTCACCATTGTGGCCACCATCCACTCCCCAACCGCCTACGCCTTCTCCCTGTTCGACAGGCGCGCTCCGCTCAGGGTCTGCTCGTGGCTGCGCGGCGCCGCGCTGCGCCGCGATGGGCGGCTCGGCTGCCTTGCGCTTTGTGTGCTGGCGGATCTGATGAAATTTTGGCGGCTTTGGCGGCAGCGGCAGCAGGGCCAACCACAAACTCACCACCAACCCGTCCCGGCATGCGGCGCGCGAGGGCTCGCCCCAGGCGCCGCTCCAGCCGATCAAACACGTCACTGCACCTCAAGCGCGCCTCCGCTGAAGCATATCATCCCACTGGGCCTCCCACAGCCTGATGATGCTGGTGAAAGGCCGCCTGGTGTACTTTGGGGCCAGCGGCGCCCCCGCCGTCGATTACATGCGCTCGCTCCCGGCCGCGCACACCAGCGGCCTCTCCTACCAACCCAACCTCAACGAAGTGGTGCGCTTGGGCATCGGCTTTGGCTCTATCCTGTTGCCTTTGGCTGCTTATTGTGTGGTTCACGAGGTCGGGGCACTCGCAACATGGGCTGCTGTTGTCATCTCTACGCGCATGCCGTCGAAAGCCGCCGCACTGGGCCCTGCAGACAGGGCGCAACCCCACCTCGCCAGGCGCAGCCAGCCTCTCTGGACGTTGAACCGGTCCGCGCCGCCTGCATGAGGCACACGCCTCCTGCGCCGTGCACCTCTTTTCGGAAATCGGGGTTGCCCCTCACTTTGCCAACTGCCGCATTCCTGGCTTTGCCATCACGACACCCCTGACGCACCCCTGCGCTGCCCTGCCCGCCACCGCTTACGCACCCGGCCCTCTTCTGGCCCCCCGCAGGAGTGGTTTGTGGACCTGTTTGCCCTGGCGGACCGCCGCGGCGACGCGGCGGTGTTTGCGGATGCGTACGAGGCGTCAGAGCTCAAAAAGGTGGGGCCGGGGACGCTGCAGCCAAACGAGCATGCCCGAACGGGCGGCCTCTGCTCGGGAGTTTACGCTGGGCGGCCTTTCCCACAGGCTGGGGTCGTCGGGGGGTTTCGGCAGGGGGCGGCGTGCAACCTTGAATTGGATTTCTCACAGAGGCGCTTTGAGGTTTGGTATTACGATTTGGACGGGGTCCTCATCAAGTCACGTGACCAGGCAAGCGTTTTGGTCAATAACCGTCTGCGTCGCACACCGCCGTCGGCCGGCAGGTGACGGAGAAGCGCGTGTCCCAGCTGGTGTCTGAGCGCCACCTGGTGCCGTCTGCGGTGGCGCGTGAGCTGGCGGTGCGGCACGCCACCGTGACGCCGTGGTGGTGGTCGCTCTGGGTGCTGCTGCGGGTGAGGGGGGGGGACGCGAGGGGGGGGGTGTGGGCGGGCCGGCTAGCTGGCTGGATGGACGGATGGCTGCAGGGCTAGTTGACCGGCTGGCTGGCTGGCCAGTAAGTGTGGCATGGTGCAACTTGGGCAGGGGCATTATGCCCCCCTGTCCTCTGATGAGGGGTGGATGCCGCTGTCGCTTGGGCTGCTCGGCTGTGCAGCCCCATGACCGCCTGCTCCGCACCTGCCACACTTGGGAGCCCTCCCCCATGCACTTCGTGCCATTTGTCACCATCGCACACCTCCCATCAACACCTGGCCGCCGAGCGCCGCGCCCTCGCCGCGCCTTGCCTGCCCCTGCCTTTGCACTTGCTTCACAGCTGATGCAATTTGACCTTTCTTCTCTCTCATCAAATGCTAGCACAGCACGCCCCCCCTCATCTCACCCCTGCCCCGCCCCACCCTATCAAACCCTGAAACCCGACTCTTGAACCTCTGCTCGCCTGTTCACAGTACCGGACGTTCCTCAACTGGCGGGACCCCTCATTCCTGGCCGCCAGGCTGGCGGACAAGGTCGTCATGGGGGCGCTGCTGGTGACGCTCTTCTGGGGCATGGGTGAGACGCGGCATATGAACCCAAGGGAACCAAGTGCATGGCGCCGTAGCATCAGCACGGAGGGCCTGGCGCCTGGTGGCGAAGCTGCTCAAGCTGCTGAACAGCAGCAGGAGTTTTGTGCGTGACGTGGGCGGGCGCTTGCGTGTGCCAGCGCGCACCGCGAGGGGCGGGGCGTTCCTCTTGGGCCTGAGTGTTGCGCCGCCGGTTCAGACGGGCAGTCAGGCCACCTGCGAGCGCCAGCATGCCTGCTTGCCAGCCCATACTCCCCAGACACCCTGCTCACACCAGCTCACTCGTGTCAATGCCACGGGCTGCCCCCATGCGCCCTTGCCATTCCGACCCGTTTGGCCACAACAACCCCAACGACCTTCACCACCCCTTTTCCCCCACACGCCGCACCCCCCCCCCCCTCATCCCATCAAACCCACAATCGCACACGGTCACCCCAACCACACAACGCACCACAAATCTCGCGTCCTGTCTTTTCCAGGTGCGGACTTTTCGCTGGAAAACTACCTGAACATTGCCGCGCTGCTCTTCATGTGGTGCACCATCCCCGCCTTCGGGGCCGCGACCTTTGTGCCCTCACTCGTGATGGGTGAGCCGCCCGCCGGGGGTGGGGGTGTGGGATGCCCTGGCGGCCCTCTCCTGTGGCGGGGCGCTGCTTTGTTGAGAGGACGGCCCCGGGAAGTTCCAGGCAGATGGCAAAAAGGCGCTTCCGTGACGTTTGTGGCCCGGCCCCACGCCCGCGACGCGCCTCGCAGAGCGGCCGCTGTTTGTGAGGGAGCGGCACGACGGGCTCTACAGGGTGTCCACGTACCTCATGATGAAGATGATAGAGGGTGAGGTTCGATCCCCATGAGAGCCACCAATCTCTTCATCAATCGCAGCCCCGCCCCTCTTCCCCAGCCCCGAGGGTTGCGTTCAGCAGCTCCTCCTGGCTGACCGTGCCTCTTACTCTGCACCGCCGCCTCTTGCTCTGCTCACGATGTCCCTGCCGGCCTCTTGCTTTGCTGTCACCTGCCAGACCACTCGCAAACCTGGCTCCCGACATTACGGTAGCAAGCCCCCCCCTCAACCGCCCTACCCCTGACCCACAAATGCCCCATCCACAACAGTCGGCCGATATTGACACCTTGCTTACATGTCCAGCCCCCCGTCCCCCCCGCAACCCGCCCCCCTGGATGCGCCCCTCAGAGATCGGCATCGCGATTGTGGGCAGCATCATGATGGCGGTCATCGTGTACTTTGGGGCCAAGATGCAGGGCAGCTTCCTGGTGGTCTGGATGGTTTACTTTGCGACACTCTGCGTCGGCATCAGTGAGCAGCGAGAAAAGACACAATTCCCCAGCCCTCACCCTCCTGTGCCCTCCGGCCTCGCCGCACGCTCGTCTGCCGCACTAGCCGTGCTGGCTGACGCGGCACCCGGGCCGGCTGCGCCGCTTGGGCCGTGCCGGTGGCTGCAGCTGGTGCCCCTCCGCCTTGCCGCTTGTGACCCCGCACCACTTGACCGATTGCTTGGTTCCAAAAGGTGCCTGTTGGCGCAAGGATGCGATCAGTGCACACGGCTCCCCTTGGAGCCACACCTGCCTCAAGTTTGGTCCCTCTTGACCTTGCCCGCACCTCCCTCATGATTCCTCAGCAATGGCCTACTCCATCTCAGCGCTGTGCCCCACCATAGACGTCGCCAACGCGGTGAGTGGCCACACCAGCATCCCCCAACGGCCGCCGCCACCGCCGCCTTCGCCGCCCGCGCCTCCTTGCGTCGCGGCGGGCGCGCCCGCGCCGCCCCGCGACCCGTAGCGCCCCTCGCCCGGCCCTTTGACCATCACTCCGACACCTCGCTCCCCCCTTCCCCCCACTTCCCTGCCCCCGGCCAGGCCCTGCCGACCTACGTGGCCACGCTGACGTTTGTGTCCGGCTTCATTATCCGCTTCGACAACATACCCGTCTGGTGGAGGGTGAGAGCGCGGCTCTGCCGCCGCCGCCGCCAGCGCCGCAGTCGCCGCCATTCCCTCCGCCGCCATTCCCTGTGCCCCCGCAGCTCTGCCCCCGCAGCTCTGCCCCCGCAGACAATTCTGCGCGCTCCTACCGGGTATCGCGGGGGCGGCCGCGCCGCGACCTGCGGGCGGGAGACGCGCTTTGGAACGGTCCCTGAACCCTCCCTGATCCTTCCATATTTTCAGTCTTCAAGCCGCCTCGCTCTCACCCTCTGCGACCCGCCCTGCGCGCGCATCTGCCTGGCCAACAACGTGAATTTGCAGTGGTACAGCCGCATCAACCCGCTCACCTACTCCTTCACAGCGCGTGAGTGCGGCGCGCGACGCCCGTTGGACCCTGAGCGCTGGGCGCATCCTTCCCGCACGCGCTGCCGCCCAATCTTCCGGTGCCCGGCCGTGTCTTGCCGTCCGTGCGCGCCTCGCACCCTC